ATCTGAGGGTTGGGTACTGTGTACCCACGTCCTCCTCCTCTGTTTGCCTGAGCTTGTTTGTGGGAACAGTCACGTGCCCAATGTCCAGGCTTCTGACAGTAATGACAGACATCTTGTGCTCTGCCTCCCTGTATGTAACCTCGGTTATGGTCCCTGCCCCGAGCTCCACCTCCTCTCCTCCACTGTCCCCTGACCTGACCCCGAGAATAGGCACTGGGTTGTGGTGCAGCTGTATATTGTGGAGCGTTGTGTGTAGGTTCACTCACAGCTACTAATTGTTTTGGCCCTTTGGCGGCCTGTACCACATCTCTCGCCTGCTTAAGTTGCAGTTTAAGTAGCTGAGCCTGCATGTCTTTTAATTCTGCAGAGCTTTTAACATCATCATCTGCAGCAGCCTGCAAGTGGTGGATAAGATGACGTTCCCACTGGCCTGCATCAGCAGTGGGAAGGTCTGGGTTTGTCTTCATGGCTTTACTCACAGCTGTTGGGACACCATCAAGGATTGCTTGTCTGAAAAAATATCTCTGACTTTGTCCCTGGCCATGACAGTGAGTTCTGTCATGCCACTCCTGTTTACACTGATCAAGGTAAGCTATGGGGTTCTGTCCCGGTTTCCAGAGAAACTTGGGTACACCCGCTCCCTCAGGGAGTGGATAGGCCTCTCTAAGGGCTCCTGCAAATCTATGGAGATGATTTGTCATGGGCTCTGAATCGAGGACCGTATAATTCCAACCTGCTGCCCGTTCCAATTCATCCATCCTAGTGGACGTTACACATCTTCCCAACAAGGCTCTCACATCTCCTACCGCTAGTGTGATACCTTTTGTAAGACTGTCAACTGCATTTAACCACTTACTACCCCCTTCAGTCAGTGGGGGCAGTTTTTCAACCAAAGCCTGAATGTCACCAAGTGCAAAGGGTTTGTATCTGATCTGCGCACCCGCCTGGAGCAGAGGAAAGCTGTTGCTCAACAGGGAGGGGTAGTCAAGTTGGTGAAACCCTTTAGTTTCCTCATGTTCTGACGGCAGGGATGTACTGGGTGATGCGGTCAGTGAGAGGGATGTACTGGGTGGAGGCTGAAGAGTAGCCATGATGTCTGAAGAGATCCTGAGTGGGGATTCAGTATAGAAAGGATTTTTTGAAGAACCTGTCAGTGAGTCAGTCAACACAGGTCTGTTTCTCCAGCCCGGGGCTTCCAGAAGAGCCTGTCTCTGCCCCACCCCTGTGAATGAGAGTGGTTCAGGTGCCTGCGGGCGAGGCAACGATGCCTGTGTGTTGAGAGGTGCTGAGTTGTTGTCTGCAGCTTTCTGTAATGTGTGTACTTTAATAAAGTCTCTAAAACCGGAGGAGCTCACTGATCCTGTCAGTTGGTTGTTCACTCACCCAACATCAGATGTGACACACCCTGAGCTATCAACACCAGTTTCAACCATTCCTTTTTTTTCACTTTCAGCTGCCACTTTCAACTTCCTGTATTTCCCCTTCTGTAAGGCGTTGGCCTCTTTCTTTTGTTTGTCAAAATGCTCTTCCTCGTCTTTACACTTTTTTATTTTTTTTCCCACATCTGAGTTATAACGTCTGCTTTGCCTCGTTTGTCACTTATCTCTTCTAATTTTTTTACGAGAGCTTTCTCCTGTTTCTTAACCTGTCCTGACATCGTTATGGCCTGTGTTACAATTGTTAGTTGCTCTTTTAACGATTTAAAGTCCTCATTTCCGTATTTCTGTCTACACTGCTCTGCCATTTCGACATCCAATTCCTTCTGCATTCTCTGAAATGAATTCACTTTCACACACCACACCTAGGTATTTTATTGTCACAGGAACCAGTTCAGGAACTCTTTTCCTTATCTCAATCACTCTCAGTGGTCTTATGGTTTGACAGGATGAACAACACTTAGACAAACAACACAAGACTGACCACTTCACCTCATTCACGCGAAACTCTGACGCCAGAAAAATTCAACAGTGGCTGCTTCCCACAATACAACTTGATTGTAGTTTTTTTTTGTTTTTTTTTAGATGAAATGTGTGTTGACCCCTTTTTTGTGCAGGAAAGGTATTTTATAAGTAGTCTGTGACTGTATTTTATTATATTAAAGAACTACTTATTATTTTTATATTATCATTATTATTATTATTATTATTTATCGTTGGTTTATCGATCGTCTGCCTTCACGTATTAGCGCTTTTACGTTTTTATCTCACCCAGTCCCGCACTTACTTAATGAACTTCCAATTTTTAAGTAAGTTTAAATTAACACTGTTTTCAGTTAGACACCAACCTAACAAGTTTACAGTTCAACTTAGTCTCAGAGTTACAGGGATGACGGCGAAGAAATTATTTATCCTACAACCCCACCCCCTCTGGTCCAGAGACCCGTCGATCTCTGCTGGGCTCGACTACTGCGTGATTTATCTGGGACTGGTTTTATTACTTATTCACTATCGCGGATCCGAACCTACAACGTAATAATCCTCTATTTAATGGGAGTCCAACACACTGAGAAATTTGCCTATAAAAAGCCCAATCACAGATTTTGTTTAAACAGGTATCTGCTTACCGTTGTTTGAAGAGTTGTGGCCACAGGTCAGTGTTCTGGACTCTGCTGTCCCTTCCTGTCCGTATCAAACCAATCTCGGTGGGACCTCCAAATTATTGGCGTAAATCGACTCACTCTATCCGCCCCAAAGTTCGTTGTTTGGTTTTACTGTGGACCAAGGAAGTACAGACACTGAAACATGACAGACACGCTCTCTTTAAATTCAATAATCAAATTTAATAAATTAAATGATTAACAGTCACAGATTACTTTTGTATTTGATTAAATGTTAGTTAAAGTACAAAATAAAACATTGAATGCGCATTCAATGGAGACAAACGATACAACCTGTAAGGGTGGTCTGAAGTCAGCCCTTGCTCTGCGTTGTCTGCTGAAAGAGGAAGTGCTGCTCAGCTATAGTCTAACTTAGGGCGGTGCATGGTCAAGGCTTCTAGAATGTTCACTTGCTCAACGTGTATAGGGCGTTGACTCACTCTAGCTTCTAGAATATTCACTTGCTCAACGTGTATTGTGCAAAGTCCGGTTGGGTGGGTGCTGTCACAAATAAGAAACAGGAAGTATACTAGTCACACTTTAAGCTTTAGAAATTGTACAAGCAGAAACAGATTTTATTTTACAACAATTCCCCCTTTGGACCTCTAAACCAGAGGTCCAAACCTTTAAAATAAAATCAGCAATCTATCTGCGGCGGCGAGGAACCATCTCAAAGTCCTCAAGGTCATACCCTCTCCGCATGAGGAGTTGACGGGTGATTTCTGGGTCTCTCTTCTCTAAAGTGGATGTGATAAGGCGCACTGTCAGTGACCTCAGGCAAGGGATGCAACAGCAACCACAAGTAATCAGAATAGACATGGGCAAACATAAACGTCTGCACCTCTAACCGAGGAATTGTGGCCAGCACAGTCAAGCACCTCACATAAGTCAAAAGTGAAGGTGGTAGTCTGATTGGCTACATACTGCAACTTGAGGATGTTATCGTACGCACCATACTCCCTCTTATGCCTATCAAAATTACAATCTGTCCTACCAGGAATAACACAAGCATATTCTAGGAGAAGGATCAAGGACACCACACTCACAGTAACCATCCCAACTCCTAAAATGACCTTCCTATCTGGCCACCACATTGTATCAACCACTTATTTTACACGACCCTTTTTACTCAAGATACAAAAACAAGGACAGTAGCAAAAAATGCGCAAGAATATACTAATTTGGACAAAATATAAAATGTATATTTTAAGTGTAAAAATAAGACGTATATTAGTAAAGTTTTTATAAAAATGAAGAATTTAAAATCTGAATAAAATGCAATACAAAATGTCAAGTGAACATATAGAATATAAATGCAAGTGTAGGCTAGTGGTACGAACGAAAACTCATAATATATATGA